TCTAGTTGCACTTTTTGTTTACAAAATGGAAAAACTTTTCAGTGATCGAGCTTTGGCCGTTGTAAAAATTGATCGTATAGAATTTTTCTTTTTTTTCAAAAAAATTACAATAAACTTTCCTGTGTAGATCGTACAGTTTTTCACGCTGCATCTTCTGGGGTACTTTGTTTTTCTTTGGATAAGGTGTATCAGCTGATAAAATGATCAGATAACAAAAAATGAATTCGTCGTGTATCAAAAACATTATCTTTTACATGGTCGAAATTCGATTGCTCAAAATTTAGTCTATTTTAAGACCAAAAATTGCAACTAGAAAATCGGTGGTCTTGTGGAAATTGAAGAGCTTTTTATGCTGCATCTTATGGCATATTTTGGTTGTTAACGCAGCTAATAAACAATTGAAAACTGCGACGTACAACTTAGAACGAGGAAACATGTTAACGAAAAAAGTCTTACGAAAAATTTATTATTATGGTATTCGATAAAGTATGATTAAATAGCATAGAAAAATAAAGCTTTCTTTTCTCTATCAGACTATATAGAAAAAAAATTCACAAAGCTTTCTATAAGAAATTGATATGCCTGCACCACTACTTTTGGACTGAGTTAAGTACACTGACTTTTTTCGCTTTGATCACGAGTGATAACACCTTTATTACGAAGTTTAGGATTTAATTTATTAATTTGTTTTTTTTTAGCAAGGTCAGAAAATTTTTCGCGTGCAAAATGATGAATAATATGATAAGAAGAGTTTGTTTCTTGCAGTGACATTGTTGATATCACAAAAACAATATATTGAAAACTATTTAATGCTTAAAGGAATTTTGTTTAAGAAAATGAAAAAGAAATTGGTAATTAAATGATATAAAATAATCATACAAACAGCTAACGAATTCTGCCTAGACAAAATTGAAATTGATAGAAGCGCCAAAGAAAAAACTAATTTTGCCTAAAATTCAATTTTGCCTGTGACATAGGCATAATCCCTGGATTCTGCTCTTTCAAATGGTATATGAACGACCTTTCTTCTTGAATGTTTTCAAGGAGAAATTAGCGGTCTACGATGACGAACTGCATCTGCCGATATTGGGAGCATTTTTCATAATTTCAACAGCAAGTCATTTTTTGTCTCTAATTTCGACACTCATACAAAACTGAAGCGAAATGCAATCTTCCCGAAACAAAGCTTCTTAAGTCTTTTCATCAGAAAACGAGCAAATGTTCTCTGGGCAATTTTGTAGAGCATGTCAAGATCTATCATAATCTAAAGGTTCATGACAAACCGAATTTGTTTAGAATGACGACAATAACTTCAGAGAAAGGCATCTAAAACCTATGCACAAAATGTCCTTAATTTCGGCACCAAGCATCTTTTGTCCCTAATATCGACACATCATTACAAAGCTGATATTAAAACCTCTTTGTATAGTTCCGGTAGAACTAAAATGTGAAGCACGAAATAGCTGTTGTAATGCAAATTACTAATGTCTGTCACAATTTGTAGAAAGAAAAATATGTGCAATTTCTTACCCATACATACCTCAACATTTCTTTTAGTTTCTATTTCACAAACCGTTTTCTATAGTTTCTGTTCTTATGAACTATTGCATCCATTTCTTCTCTTGTTCAAGATGTCTTTGTGTTAAATACACTAAACGAACTGTTTTAAGATAAGCAGCTGAAAATGTTTTGCTAGGTGATAAGAATTCATGCTGGGTGTGGGTGTGTGTGGGACTGAAGATTAAAACATTCACAACCGTTCCACACCCACACCCACACCCGCAACATAAAGACTGATTTCTCGATCTAATGTAATTTATATGGATAATAAAATTGCTCTACTGGTTTTTCTTCCATTATGTATACCAACAGACATCTCATTCAATGATTGTTACATTCTGTCACATCGACAGTACTCTAATGATCAACTATGACCATACAAATGTGTACCATTTGTGTTAGATTATTTGCTTGGTCTTCAGTATTGGTTAATGAAAAACAATTGGAATAATGGCTTTCAATCACTAGTTGAATTTAAATTCCTCATATTCAAGGATATGGGGTGTGAGTATGGATTTTATTAATATCAAGTACAATCTCTATGATTTTAAAAATGGATCGTTTTACGAATGAAAACAAAACTTCATTGTCACTTAATCTAATGCTTTTATTTTATAATGACTGTTCATTACACAAAATTTACTAGATGATAACAATGATGATGTTAATAAAAGAATTAAATAAAACTGAGAAGAATATTCAAAATTAAAATAATAATTATTTTGCGTATGTAACTTGCTCAGTTTTAACACTAATACTTTTGTGCTTGGCACATATTACTTAGGTGGACGACGAGTAATAGTTTGATATAAGAATTATTTTTACGCTAAAAATTTTGAATATGAGGAGAATATGTATAGAGTAAACATTCTCTATTCTCTATCATTCATACTTATACATGCATCGCTGTCTATCTGTATTTAATTCATGGAGTTGAAAAATTCTTAAGTATACGCAAAAAAGAATGAGGACTATATTTTACAAATTATTTTTTTTTCCGTATTAAAAATAATAATTTAACAAAATTATTAAGTTTAGATAGAATCCATTCTTAATTTGGTAGAAAACTACAAAAATATCTCGTTAAGTTAAGAAGATTAAACGAAAAGATGCGTATAACTTTATGTAAAATATTGAAAACCATCAATAAAAGTAACTAAATAAATTTCGATCCTAAAATTTTTTTAAACGAATTCTTCGCTTTTAAAAATCAATCTTTTATTTGCCCAAATGCCAATGTCTTCTAATTAGTTGCATATTATTCAGATAAAAACAAAACAATTTTTCTTCAATATTAAACATGCTCTGTATATATATTCTAGAATCCTAACAGTAATCATAAAATAATGATTCAATTCATATTGTCTATTGTTTAAAAAAAAGAGTAAAACTGGAATAATACGATAATAACAACAAAATATGAAAACTATCGTCGGTAATTATAATATGGAACTTCAACCACAATATCATTATTATTCGTAACACATGATACTCGAAATGGATCATACATGTAATTTTCTAAGCCATTTCTTGCATTATATGGTCTTAATCCTATGATGAAAAAACAAAAATATTCGAGAAGAAAAAGAAGAAAATTATTAAGTGTCGTTACAACTTACGACTATCAAATGCTCGAATAGCTCTGGATGCTGTACGGAATGATTGTCCAACCAGTTCTGGCCATTCTTTTCTTCCTGATACCATTGATCTCTATTAATGTAATTGATAAACTGTACAAATACTATTATATCACTTACTACTATCTGTTCAAGAAGCAGATGAAACATTTCTTTTTACTTATTTTGTGTGTGTGTTCTTAACTACTCTATCACTGTATACCTGCCGTCTAATTTATTATTCGAATTTAATTATGATAAACAAAATGAAAAAACAGAAACAGTGATCTTCAATGCTACCTTTTGGTATCGGCCTTCAAATTCTCCCTATAATTCCAAAATGAAGGTACTAGGGTAGCTTGAAATCTCTATGAAACAAGTGAATTTAAAGTAATAGTTCGAGTTCAGAACACTATTTAAGAATAAAGAATAAAATTTACAATAGAACAACTAAGTGAAACTGGCTTAACTATTCAAAAATTAACTAATCCAGTGTTCAGTGTATCGTCTTTCGGCTGTACTATAATTAGGCATGTACAAAATCCAAACTGTTTGGGTTGGGTGCATGCCTAAGTATAATCGCATGTCCCTAAATATGAGATAACGAATGATACAGAGACTTTGAATAGTACATCAAATGATATTTCATATGATAAACCTATGTGTATCGATACTAAATCTATTCATATTGTAATGTATAAGTGCTACACAAAAACCTTCGATTTATTGACTAGAGTACACAAAAGTCAATTACTAAAGACTTGAGGTTATATTTCTTACCAATGATTGTCCCATAACTTCTAGCTGCTTGGATGGGATGATGTAAATAATTGGTTTTAGATTAATGTATTTGTTCTAGTTGATATCAACTACTTTAAAATATAATATGAAAGATACTTTATTTGATATGGCAAAGTACTGTGTTAATCCAAGCAGAACACGAGTAGTGTGGTTGATAGAGAGAAAAAAGAAAAAGGTCTATGTTCTTTCTTCATTCTCGTAGTAGATATACCTTTTTGGTATATCATCAAGAACGAAAGAAAACGTGAAGTAACGATAGCAAAATCATCTATATAAATTGCAAAAGCCTTTATTCTCCTTGGCATTGATCGAACAATTTTTTCACATACGTCTTGTCGATATTCACTATTAGTTTAATGATTAAAACGTTACAAATCTCTCTTCGATTGATCTTCCGACAAGATTTATGAATGATAGTAATGTGGACATCAATTGATAATAATAATAAAAACGTATCGAATGATATTTGTTTCATGATTATCACAAATTCTTGTATGTAAGGGAAATAATAAAAAGACCTTTACAAATTTCGAAGATTCTATAGTTTTAATAACTAGACTCATTCTTATATCGATCGTTCGAATCAATTCAAGTTTTTTGAAAAAATTTACAAGTTTTCTAAATGTGATAGAGTATCTATTTTGCTGATTGATGAACATATCTCATATGTCATTATATGAAGTTCCACCCAACATCAAAATCAACCAAAAAAACACAAACTGAACTATAATTTTTCATTGGATAATCACAATCAAATTGTAATCAAATCATCTCATGTGTTATGTCAGTAGAGACATCTCCTGACATAAGACGGCCATCTTTATCCCTCTATCATAGTTAGGAGATGGAACCAACCGTTGGAAGAGAAGAGAAAGAGAGAAAGAACATTCTTTGCTGCTTTGTGTTTTTGATTGATTCAGTGGTTTGTTTTTGTGAAGAAAGAAGGAATAAAGAAACTGGGGGAAAAGGACCTAACAATTTGGTGCACTGGCCTGAGTTGTTTATTCTTGATATAATTAGTATATGTTAACACGACAAGGTGCAAGACGACTTATTGAAACTGAATTCCATCGATTAGCCAATATTGATATTAATTTTCCTGATCATACACCAATAAATCGAATAGTTTCTAATCCAACAAACTTAATAATGGCAGAGAAAACCGTTGCAACACTTTTGAGTAAAGCTATGGAACAAACACCGAAATTTTCTGGCAAACCCGATCAAGATGCTGATGAATGGATGAAGAATTTGACTGATACATTTCGTATGGCTGATATGACAGAAGCACAAGCATTAAAAATAATACCTACATTTTTGGAAGGACATCCTAAGCAATGGTTTACTGGCAATAGTGCAATATTCGAATCCTGGAGTGTATTTAAAGCTCAATTTATTCATACGTATTCATCACCCTCCTCGAAACAATTAGCGTCTAACCGCTTAAGAACTCGCCAACAACGACATGATGAAGCTGCTATCGAATATTATATCGATGTTATGAAACTATGCAAATTAGTTGATCCAACCATGACTGATGCATCCAAAATTGATCACTTATATCACGGACTCAAACCATCCCTAATGAAAGAAGTCTTCCGTAGAGCTCCATCCACACCAGCAGAATTTTTAGAACAAGCACGACAAGAAGAAAATTTAGATCGTTTAGTTAATACGTCTTTTCAACAAACCAATGATAGTGATATACAAGCAACAAACTATTCCAACAACTCATTATATAGATCTCCACAAAAATTTGCAACTGCGCACTACCAAAATTCATCACATATGCATTCTAAAGGTTATTCCGCAAACGTATACTCACCTCGAACAACATACAACCAATTTCATGATCCATCATCGTCACGTTATCCACCTCAAACTCAACAATCTTCGTTTAGTGCGTTACACTATCAATCACGCCCTTTACGATGTTATCTATGTCAGAAATTGGGACATATTGCTCGTGATTGTAGATCTGCAAAAAACTACTAAAGGAGTCAAATGATGGTAGTGACTCCCACCCATCGCGACCATCACTATTTTCTTCATCAATAAATAGAACTTATTCTGTACAACAACCGCATATCTATCGTCGCTTCGTTCCGTTTTTTCGTTATCGTACTAATCGCCACATAATAAACTACCCGACTTCCTCGGTACATCCTCGCAAATATATCACAATTAACTAACCTTGCCAACCGCTCGTTAAATCCATCGCACAACATAATGCCCTTAATCAAAATATTAAAAAATCCAATCCTTCATTAATTTTTATCAATACTCTCATCAATGGATCACGTTTACGTGCTATGATCGATACTGGTGCCACTCATTCATTTATCACTCAAGGTGCCCTTAGCACATTATATCATTCAGCCATACCCCAATGTGATCGTATAGCTCAATTAGGTGATGGTCAAACGACGCTTAAAATAGTGGGTGAAGTTCAACTATTCTTGCAATTTAATAAAGTTTTTACGCCTTTAAATGTTCTCGTTGTCAAAACAATGAATACAGATTTTATACTTGGCAGTGATTGGTGTACAAAAAATGCAGCAAGAATCGATTATGAAAACAATCAAGTGTCTATACGTTCTTCATGTGGTCGTGTCTTCATTCCATATCACAAAAGCATTGATTGCTTAACTTTAGATGTCAAATCAATTAATGTTATTCATATACCTCCACGTGAATCATACTCTGTTCAAGCCAAAGTCGAATTATCATCAGCTGATACCGTCTACTTCTCACCTGTCGATCCTATACAATCCGAAAAATCTATTGTCATATCACCTTCGTTGTTACACATAAATAATTATACCACATATTTAGAAGTATATAATCCACATGATTATTCCTACACATTACCAATGAATACTCTTCTAGCTCGAGTAACACATACACCGTATGAAATGCATTCATGTTTATTATTTGATACATTTCGTGAAACTTTGTCGGTATCGCTTCAACATCATATTTTTAATACAATTGAACTAGAGCAAAAACCTTCTGAAACATCGAACAGAATTGATAAATTAATTATTCATATTAAAAATGTTCAAGAGCAACAACAATTACGTTTAATATTACAACAGCACATGAAAATTTTTGATATTTCGAAAATTACACAAGCCAACACGCATATTCAACACACTATTAACAGCGGTGATAGCCTTCCGGTTAGCTCACGACCATATCCAAGAACCATCGAACAAAGACGTGAACTTCAAGATGAAATCCAAAAAATGACACAAACAAATCAAATTCGTCCATCCAATTCCCTTTGGTCATCTCCAGTTATTATTCACAAAAAAAAGGATGGTGGTATTCGATTTTTAGTGGATTATCGAAAATTGAATTCGGTGACCAAAAAAGACTGCTTCCCTCAACCAACAACTGAGGAATTACTGCATCGATTAGGTGGTCATCGTTTTTATACAAAATTAAATCTTAAATCATGTAATTTTCAGCTTCCATACATGAAACAGATAAAGAAAAAACAGCTTTTATTACACAAGATGGTTTATGGGAGTTCAACGTTCTTCCACAGGGTATTATGAATGGACCACCAACTTTTCAAAGAACTATGCACAATCTTCTTGGTTATGGCCGCTGGAATTATGTTATGGTTTAGTTAGATGATATTTTGATATTTTCATATACATTCCATGAACATTTACACCATTTAAACGAAATTTTGTCAATATTAGCTAAAGCCAACTTTCAAGTTAATCCTGTTAAATGTTCCATTGCTGTTCAAGAAATCGATTTTTTAAGCCATACAATCAATGAACAATGCGTTAAACCTAATGGTGATAAAATTAAAGCTATTGTCGATTTACCAACTCCAAAAACACTTAAAGAAGCAAATGAATTTTTAGGGAAAATTAATTGGTATCGAAAGTTTATTCCTAATTTTGCCCGTATAGCCGCACCATTACACAAAGTTACCAATAAAACAAAACATCATCGCCATGAATTTAAATGGGGACCTGATCAACAACAGTCATTTAATGAATTTAAACGTCTTCTGACAACATATCCATTATTTTTAGAATATCCAGATTCATCAACTCCATTTGTTTTAACAACTGATGCATCAAATATTGGAATAGGTGGAATTTTACGACAAGACACACCGAATGGCACAAAAATTAATTATTTTAAATCACGTATGTTAGATGATACCGAACGTAAATATGATACAATTGAACAAGAAGCATTAGCTATTTTTTGGTGTCTGTCTGAACTTCGATCATATATAGGTGATTCAGATTTTATTATTGAAACTGATCATAAACCACTTGAAAATTTTCATAAGAAACAAATCAATAATAAACGAATAATGAATTGGCTTTTTAAATTACAAGATATACTGCCACAAATTATTGCAGTCAAGCATCGCCCAGGTGCACATAACGCAGCTGCTGATTATATTTCACAACACTTTCCACCATCCACATCTACCAACATTAATCCATCTACCACAGCTGTAACATATGATGATTGGCCAATTGGTACTGAACATTGGGATGAACAAGTACTCAAACCACAACGTACACAATGTACTCCACCATCTATTTTAGAACACACTTGTACTCGGAATGCGAGTATCAACGCGGAAATTAATGCTGTTACAACCAGAGCACAATCAAAACTTCAAGCTCAACCACATTGCTCTTCACCAAATGCATCATCCACATCAACTACATCTCAATCTACGTGTTCGTCTCCGCCGATCACTACTCCATTACATGATTTTAGTTTATCACGTATACGTTCTGAACAAGCACAGGACGTAATTATTCAACAAATAATCCAACAAATTCGAAATAATCGTCGCTATGAATCGTTTATTATTCAACATGGTATTCTGTATAAATTAGTTAACCGCGATGATACTACTATTAAACTTGTTTATGCACCTTCGAAATTAATTCCAGAAATAATGACTGCTTATCACGATCATCCATTAAGTAATCATTTTGGTACTGGACGTACATGGTCTATGCTAAGAAGCACATATTATTGGCCACGTATGAAAGACACAGTAACATCGTATACTTAGGGTGTACCAAAAGTTCTGATCATCATATTTAAAAGACTTTTTCGATAAGGTTTCCTATTCAAAAATGAGAAACCAAATACACCATGTTGTAGAGTTTTTCGAGATGCATCGAGTAGTATATAGTAAATTCTATTTTCATAAGACTCTGAAAGAATTAGAATCCATTTACTGATAGACGACTACATATCCACATGCATCCATACTAGCACCTATACTCAACAATGATAAATTAATGAATATTGTTCTCTTTCTCGTAGAGAAGAGTCTTACAAACATAAATTGTCTGCTTGCTTGCTTGCTTGTATGTCCGCAGAGGGTCAAAAGAACATAACGGTTCACCGAAGGATAATCAGAGGTTATTTTTGGTTGGGATTTCGACTAATAAGGTTTTCTGACATTGCGGTTTCAGCCAATAGGATTTCAGGGGGGGGGGGCAATTCAACCAATCAGATTTTTTTGGCCCGTAATTCGATCTAGTAAGGTTATTTTTGGTCGGGATTTCGACTAATAAGGTTTTCTGACATTGCGGTTTCAGCCAATAGGATTTCAGGGGGGCCAATTCAACCAATCAGATTTTTTTGGCCCGTAATTCGATCTAGAAAGGTTATTTTTGGTCGGGATTTCGACTAATAAGGTTTTTTGCCATTGCAGTTTCAACCAATAGGATTTCAAAGGGGGGGGGGGGGGGGG